GCCCGTCCCCCCCCCCCCCCCCCCCCCCCCCCCCCCCCCCCCCCCCCCCCCCCCCCCCCCCCCCCCCCCCCCCCCCCCCCCCATTCCTTGCTCTGTTCGATTATGCGAAAGACCGCGAAGGAACGGGAGGGAAGGGGATGAGAAAAAAAGAAAGGAAAAGGGGGAAGGGAGGGGAGGGGAGTGCGTGAGTGAGTAAGTGGCAAGGGAACCTCATACCGTCTTCTCGGCGCTCTCGCTCCAAAAGCTCGTGACGTAATAATCGAGGGACGCGCCCGGGTCGAGGACCAGATGGCCGTTGACGGAGACGTCCTTGATGCCGACCTGCCAGCCGGCGGCGGACCCGGCGATGGACAGGTGGGCCTGGCAGTTGATGGTGGAGTCGGCGGGGGAGGAGCTGCGCGCCTCGAACGAGTTCAGCCGCAGCGATATGTCGTCGAACCCGCCCGTGCGGTCGACGGCCGGCGCCGACGACGGACACCCGCTGCCCGAGTAGGATATGGATGCGATGCGGGGCGGGGGGGACGGCGCGTCCCGTGGAGTTAGGGAGGAGGAGGAGGAGGAGGAGCCGCTGGTGGTAGGCAGGGCGCTGGAAGCGGCGGCGGCGAGGATGGGGAGAAAGGTTGAGGCGCGCATTTTGGGTTGGGTTGGGTTGATTTTGATGAGTGAATTTATATGAGAGAGAGAGATGGTAAGGGATTTGTAGAAGGATATGAAGCTATGAAGACTTCGAAATAGTTATACTGTATAGGGTATCTTATACAAGAAGCTGGAGCTGTGTGGTGAACTAGTTCAGTCACTTTATATGCTTTTCTGTCTTGCTGTCTGATAGTATATAGAATAATCCTCCTTCAAACTACACGCGGACGACCCGAGTCTTTATAGAAGACTTCTTTTCCTTTTTCTCCTCGTTCGACTTATCATCACACGAGTACCGTATAATATCCCAAGGAGCGAAAAAAAAAAGAGAAGTAGTCGGCTCCGTGTAGCTAAAAAAGATAATCTCGAACGCCATCGACGTCCTGCACATCGAACAAAATAGGATTGCCATCCTGGGCCCAGGGATCCAATATGGTCCCGGCCCTTTTCGATATATCCTTTTTCGCCTCTTAATCAAGAATACCATCCCATAACGTCCCATCCCCATCACGCACGCATGTGCGTCCTGTTCGAGTCCCGATTGCCACAATCGCATCCAGTCACCAACCAACCGGCTAAGAAGGCAAGAGATAGCGGTAGCGATCCGTGTCCTTGCCATTTCCCTCGAGGGTCCAGCCTGACCCTGCCAACCGGCCGGGCGAGGAGGGTTTTACTTTTAGCCATATTTACCCAGCTTACCCCGAGGACCCTGAAATAGCTTAGATGGGCGTATTCCCAATCCCAGCGCCCCGGATAATAAGAAACGAAAATTAACAAAAGAACACCATAGCATGGCGCAAGCAGGGTCCTGTCCGATAGCACGTTGGTCTAGAATGCCTCGCTCAGTCCAGACTCCAGATGTCATGTTTTAATTTGCGGTTGCGCGAGACTGGGTCAGTCCAAGAAGCTCGTCCCCCTGGCCTTTTTTTCGACCTAATTCTCGGGACGTGCATTATGGACAGTTATCGTTTTTAAACATGGAAAGACGAAAGACTTGGTAATGGGATATTCTTTTTGGTTTAATTATTCTTAGGCCCGTTCCGACGTGCGTGCTGTTTGTTTATTTTCTCGCACCGGAGTCTAGATCTAGATCTCGCTCGTCCTGGTTCTATTTACGGATATGGAATACGTCCTCGTAGTTCTAATTCCTTCGTTGACGAGTAAAGCAAAGCAAGGTCTAGAACCACCACACGTAATCGGCCCATTGCCGGCTCCAAATTGCTTGCTTTGCTTTGCATCATGGCAATAATTATAGACATATCAAGAAGCTTTCGTAGATAGATATGGTTGACGAACAGCTGTTTCTGGAGCCCACCCGCGGTCCCAACAAACGAGATTACTCGTTCGTTCCAAACCAAAAAAAGGCTCTGGTCAGTATCCGTGGCCTGTTGAAAATAAAACCGACCTATCTAGACTAGACTAGACAGACGTCTCGTAGTGATGAGATATTGACAATTATAATGTCGTTCATTAATAAGTAATTGTACCTCGAAGCCTCGTGTTACTGTCCATCAGATAGATACTCCCCCCTAGCCTGTAGCTTTTTTTAGATGCTACCCCTGGACGCCGGTGCCTGAACCCCAATGATACATGATGCATGCAGTTTCTTTTTGTACAACAAACAACACCCAGATCTTTTTTAGAGATCTTTTTAATTTAAACCATGATACGCCTCAGCCCCTCCGTGCCGCCGAGCACCCTCCGCCCCGTCACGGCGCACCTGCCCCGGCCGCTCTCCCACTTGCCCTCCCGGTCGGCCGCCATGAAATCCTCCTGCCGCTGGTGCGTGCCCTCGAGCCAGCGGTGTATGCACGCGTAGCAGTACACCACGCCCGTCTGGCACGCCGTCGCCGTCGTGATCTCCTCCTCGCAGATGGGGCACAGCTCCGAGTCCTCCGGCGCCGGCACCGTGAAGATAGGCAGTAGCGAAGGGGTGGCGATCGGCGCGTCATCCGCCGACGGTATCTTGGCTCGTTCCACCCCTTCTCCCTCTCCCTCGCCCTCTTTCTCCTTATCCTTACTCTTCTCGTCTTGACCCTTTTTGTTTTTCTTCTGTTGCAGACCCTTCACTCCCAGCGCGGATAAACCTGATACCACCGGTGGCGGAAGCTCCAGGTTCTCGGACGCCTTCCTCGACAGCTGCTTCGCGAAGTCCGACGCGTACCACCACTCGAGGAACTTGAGCGCGAAGATGCTCGTGGGCAGCAGCACCGACAGGCTGCTCAGCAGTTTCGGGCCCAACACCCTCGGATTGAGGAAGTTCGCAGCCGTGAGGGGCGCGCTTCCGGGCTTCGACTTGCCCAGGGCCTCGATAGCCTGGTAATCGGCTCCGTTCATCCTGCGTATCCTGGTGCCGATAAGCCACAGGAAGGGGTTGTGGTATTTCGTACCGTCGAACAGGTACGCCAGGTTAAAGGCGATGATGCTGAAGTAATAGGCGGCGTGCACGCTCGGGTAGACGTTGCGTATGAACCACTTGTAGTAGTGCAGCAGGCGCTGCTTTAGCGTCGGGTTCGCGGGCATACGCGTGTAGTTTGCGCCGAGCAGGGCTCGCGGGGCTTCGATCTCGTGGCTCTCGTCGAGTTTCCGCTTCAGGTAGGGTATGGCGACCATGACGGCCAGGTTCTTCCAGATGTCCTTCTCGCTGAGCTTGAGGGTCTGCCGCACGAGCTCGGGCGCGCGGGTGGTGGCGCGCGGGACCTCGGCCTGCAGAGCCTTTTCTCGCTTGAGGTCGTAGAAGTGCTCGGTGAAGCCGCCGCCGCGTGTTCGTAGATAGTGGCGCTCGATAACGAGCATAGCGAGCGCGTAGAGCTCATCGAAGGAGTTAAGCACACGCAGCAAGTAACGAGGGTACCGATGAGTGGCGACGGTGAGAAGGTATCGTAACGTCGGTGGTAGAAGCGAATTGAGCTGTTGTTCGGAGAGCAGCTCAAATAATGAGGGCTTCTGATCGTCGAAGGTGCCCCGAAGGGCTGTGACGAATTCCATCTCGATTATTACGCCCCAATTGTTTAATGTAGTTTTAGGTAGTTAAGTTGAATATTAGGAATGAAGCATGATGGGTTGTAAAAAACAAAATAACTAAATTGAAGTTTAAGTTGAGAAGAACAAGCTGACAAAAACACGACTCAATCCAAATAACATTGAATAAGGTTCCAATAAAAAATAATGTTCGGTACGAGATCAACACAGGATGCCGAGGTTGACGTAAAATGAAGGGAGCTCGGGCCATGACCCCAAGTTAGGTACGTATGTACATAGGTACGTAGGTACTGAATGATCATTAATATGAATTTAGCTATCTGAATCAACTATGAGCATGAGATGCGGAATATTCACAATGTTCGTGTATTGACTAATAATGCTAACTTCTACAGCTAGCTTAACATGTCCTTACCGTAACCTATTTACTAATTCAATCAAGTCGTATGTCGGGGTCTACAGTATAACATGCCCTCTCCCAACCCCCAACTCCAACTATTGCTACGGCGAATTCAGAGCCAACAGGACATCGAGTAAAAAGACCACGGCGACAGCCTAAGCTACCTAATCATCAGTCCAGGTCATCCAAGAGATTCCCGTGATTTCTAGCTCAAGTCCCGGTTCGTCTTCCTCGTCCTCATCTTCATCCTCCGACCGGTAAACCGACGAGTCGAGCTCATCCTCGTCGCTGGGTCCTTCGTGGGAGGCATCGTGGACGCTGGGCAGATACTTTTGTAACATTTCGCTGTACTCCGCCACGGCGCTGTCCGAAATCTTCCAAAACGCACTTGGACCAGCTGGGCCACGTGGATCGAAATCTCTGGAAACCTGTTCAGCATAGGTGCCTAGGTACGCAAGCAATACTCAGATAACAGCGGCTAAGGTCCAGTGGACTTACTTGTCGAACCAATTACCCAATATCCCTTTAGAACTCTTGACCCCGCCTATCTGGACACTCTCACTACGCCATCTCTCCACACCGTTGAAGATAGAGAAGGTCGTCCAGCGTACCTCGCCTTCACGTGTCAACCGAACAGTGCCTACTTCTCCAAAGACCTATTAGCAAACTCAGACGTCCCATAAGTAAAACCCAAAAACGCACCTCTCATACCTCTCAAGTCTGAATTGGCGTTATCATCAAAACTATCGTCGAGTGACTGGGAAATACCCTCAAAATGTACAACTGGTAGTTCTTGTCCGTCTTCGGGCCCCGGGGGTTCGATGCTGGTCACGCGAACCCTCATGAGAATTAGGCGCATGGCTTGGCCAACCTCAAGAGCCGGTCGAGGGATATCCCGGGGAAGCTGTGACCCTTCCGAAGCAAAGTTATATGTGAAAAAGTCTGTATAGTCCAAGAAGCATACTATGCGTAGCCAGGTCCCCGTGACTCCATACGGATCCTGAAGATCCAATGATTTTGAGGATTCCGGTGACTCCGGCACCCTCGGGATGGGATGTGGTATATAGCTTTTGGGCCATGTCCCTGCGAAAGGTAAGTCCCAGTAACTCCTACATAGTGGAAACTTCGCCAGGCCAAGCTTCCGAAGGTTCGATCCAATCACGACCATGATAGCCTCGACCTTCTCCCAGTCCACCCGATCCGTATCATCATCCATAAACGGACCCCATTTCGTGTTTTGTGTATACTGTCTCAAGTCGTACACCACAGAGCAGGCGTACGGGTTCAACTTGCGGTCTCTCGTCTGGTGCGACTCTGGGCGCGCATATAAGATCGGCACCCCAAAGAGACAGTGCAGATGTGCGCTCTTCTGGTGATCCGTCTGTACGGACGGGTCGGGATTATCAGAATAAACGAATTCCCTGCGGGCGCGCTCGAAGATTGTAGACCGACACAGAAAGGCGGACTGGGTAGTCTCGTCCTTGAATACGGAGCGTAGAAGTTGAGCGTTGCGAGACGTCAGATGGGTTGTTAACGGGGATCGCTCGGTATCTGTGGCAGCATTCTCAAGAAAAGACTTGACGGTGTCATAAACGAATGAGAGCTCGTCCTTCTACGTAGAACAGAGTTAAAAATACGGAACAATTGTGGATTACGAGTCGGGTAGGTGTAGTTAATGTAAAGTGCAAAGCATGTGAAGCTCGAGAAGTGTCGTCGTACCTTATCTTGTACACGATCTCTTCGGCATACGACTTGTAAGCGGACGACATCTTTAAGAGCCTGCACCCAATTCACCACGGGTTTGTTTACAGGATTATCAAAGTTATTAAGATAGACGATTCTGAAGAGCGAGGTGTTCCCATTGATAACATGATAGAGGATCTTGCAAACGCGGGGGATCCATCCTAAGTCGGAGGGTTCGACGTAGCCAAGAATATGTTGCACGATCTCCGGTGGAAGTTCAGTTAGAAGGACCATCTTTCCCTAACGTATACCAAAAGACCCGTTTTTTTTCTCTCTCTCTCTCTCTTTCACTTAATAAGGTCGCGATGAAGTCCCGATAATAATCAAGTTTGAGTCATAAAGGGGACCATATATATTTTGCTGTTTTTGCTGACTGAGGTTTTGATGAAGGTAAAGTGTAAGTAGGTGGAGAGTGGGATGTGGATTTGGATGTGGATGAGCAAGTAATGACTTATTGGTAGTTGCATTGCTATAAACTTAGCGCTATTGCTATCTCGGCATTAATCACTATTCGGATTTAATGCAACAGTGCACCTTCTAACCTGACAAATACATAATCCATTGCGCCATTTCTATTAGCCAATTCTAAAAGTCCGACTCTTACACGTTTTGAGGTTTACTTGCCTCGGTTACTTCGATACTATTGTTATTAACGTATGACACTCATGACAATACTCAGCTAATGCAGTAAGAAGAAATACACGTCTTAGGCAGAAATATCATAAATTCAACGCTCTTGCCTCCTCCCAGACGGCGTTAACGCCACGCCCAAATGCCTGAAGGATTTCAAACTTCAACCGATTGCTTTTGACGTTATTCCGTCACTACCTAAACTGCTAAATTGCTAAACGGCTAAACCGCTTGCCTGCCACCCAGGCAAACATATCGACAATGGGACAGTAGAATATCAAGACACAACTCTCCCCCTTCCACATATCCAAAATGGTGATGGTGATGATAATGACTATAATGACGATAATGACGAGAGTATGCCTCCAAATGCTTCGCAATAGATATTCAAACATCTTCGCCAGTTTTTTTTGGTAGATGGTATATATAAGCTAGATATATATATCGAACAGCAGTGAATATCACTCAAATGGGGTACCGGCGAGGTTCGTGCTGCACCGGCCGCATCGTGTTTGGGTATATGATATGATATGAAGTTGCAGTTCTCGCATAGTTACAATTGTGAAAAAATCCAAGGATCCAGATGCTCTGGTAGAGACGCTATAATCTTCGTTAAGAAATGTTTCGATGTCGCTTGTCCGTAATTCGTTCCTCCTCATATATCAGTTGCCTTTCCTCAAATTCTCATCATGTTTCCGTATTTCCGTATTTCTTTTTCATGTTTTTTTTTAAAAAAAAAAAAAAATTCGCATGTAATAAGTTGATAAAAGCTTCGCTAAACCACCGTTGCACCACTGTTAAGCTGAATACAGTTGTTCAATAGTGTTGCTCCTTCGTGTAGCAGCTCCCATCGTGTCGACTCGAACGAGTCCTTTAGAACGACAAGCAAAGTACTATTCTTGTTGATGCCTCTCATGCCCTTGAGATCTTCCGGTGATGCTACCGAGCCGACCCTCATTAGGTACTCTCGCATCTGGCTCATTCTCTCCTGAGGAGTATCCGGGATGGGAACTCCGGGACAAGGCCCCTCCAGCGCGAACCCGTAGCACCATACAACCAATGCTGCAAAGTAGAGCACCCACGGCCGATTCAAAAGGACATCATCTCTGGCCAGGTACATAAGAATACCGGATTGGTGGCTGTAACCCTCCGAGGACGACCCTGCATTTTCTGGGAGCAAAACTGAGTATAGGAATTTGGCAGCATAAAATGTGGCGTCGCGGGCTTTTGCAGACGGCGCCCAGAGATCTTTCATTCTACGTTGCGCACTGTTTAAATCCTGTGTACCAATTGCTCTGCCGAGCAGGCGTTTGGCACGAGCAAATATTTGACAGTCAACGATATCCACGTGCATTGCCATGTGCGCTAGGTGATGTAGTACTGTCCTGCTCTCAAATACCACGTTGGCATCGCTCTGCTTGTCGTAGCTATACGGGTCCATCATCGTATCAGCGCGCTGTAACGATTTGTCGAAATCCGTTTTCCACGAGTCAAATGCTTTGGTAAGTGTTGAGCGCCACTTGTCTCGGCCACCAAGCGCTTGTTGCACACCACCGCCGAGCGAGCTAACTTGTAGGTCACGTTGGTTCATATGCCAACTCACGCTTAGCAAGCCAGCCATGAGAATCTGTCGGCCGAAAGGATTTGTCTGTACTTCATGCCCCGCTAGTGTTCGCTTGAGTCCCTCGAGGAATGAGATCGGCTTGATCCCGTTTGACATAAGGTTCGCCTCGATCCTACCAACCTCAGCACCGCTTGTGGCCTTCCATAGCTGATCGTCACAGGGGAGCGGTAGGCGCATTTCGTGTGCTACCATGACGGTTGAGTGCCCAAACATCGTAGCATGTATTGAGTCAATAAGAAACGCCGCAAAAGCTGCACGCCTAGTAGTCTCGTTCGTTATCCAGTGGTTCCACCACTCATCCGGCGTATGTGCGAGTCCTGAAGTAGAAGAATGGCGAGAACTATTCGCCCCTGATTTCTCATCTCGTGGGTTGGGCGGCGAGTCGAGAGCAGATTTTCCTATCAGCGCCCTCCCTCTCCGCATTAGCGTAATGGTAGTCGCGTGATGGATGTGTGCTCGCTCGTGGAGCTCCCTGGTCGAGTACATCTTCTCGTAAAGCTCGAGCAATATTAGAGTCTGGAAGGCCCAGATCTTCGCCGGTGGCCGGCAGTTCACGTCCATAAATATTTCCCATCTCAGGTGCCACGCAAGGAAGTTAGAAAGCTGAGATCCAGCCCTAATAACCTTCGGCCCATGTGTTCTATCCAAGCAGGCAGCTCCTATTGCCATTACTGCTATCAATAACAAAGTTGGTGTCCTATCCGGCGAGAACGTTGGCTTGTGGAGAATGGGTATCTGATCGCTGAAATGAACCCAATAAGAACCTATATACTGCTGCATCATCGTTCGGCTTAGCATGTGGTTCTTATCACTCCTGTCACCCTCTAAAATGCTTTCCCGTTGACGCTCTACCGGCGCATGATCGTTCTCGTGGAATCTCTCCTTAATGAAGTCAAAAATTTCTTGACTCTTCTCTTCAGATAAAAGCGACTCCGGGAGATTCGGGTCCAACAGATTTGTAACAGCCATAACCTGTTGCGGCTGGTTAGATGGCGGGAAATACCCGAGAGATGCGCTTTCGTAATACGGCATGCCATATTGATGCTCCGCATAGCTAGATTCAATCATGTTAGTTCGAATACTGATAAAGCTTTCCAAATCGTCCCTTAATACGTACTTAGCATATGGATTAGGTGCCATTACATGGCCGACCTGTGGTGATCCGTTAGGATCGTTGGTATTAAAGAGATATGCAAAGAAGTCTTCCGGAATAGCAACGTAGGGAGTCTTATTCAAGACGCCGTCGCTGCCGAAAACTGGGATAGTGGTTTGCGTTGCCATCTGATCTAGTAGCGCCATTTCACCATTCGACTGAGATTGCGAATGATCATAATCATTAGCATTATGGGGCGCATAAGCTTGCCCGGATTCCCTCGGCAGATCACCAGCAGACGTCGTCGCAAAATCCGAAGGTGGTAGGGCGAAAGGTGTTAAGTTTTGTTGAGCAACGTACGGCATCGTTGGTGTAGACTGAGGAGTGTTGGCGAGATGCCCATGGTAGTTGCCATGTTGCGTGGGAACTGGCGAAAGAACGCCATAAGGAGCACCGATATTAGTTTGGATTGTCGGCCGCGAAGGGCCTGAAGGGGAGTGGTGTGGATGCCGCGCGCCGTGGTGAGCTGGATAACCCTGCTCGTGGTGTATAAACCCATCAACACCGTTTGGATGACCGGTATGGCAAAAATTGGCTGGCGGTGTATTCGCTATCGGGGTAAAGGGTGTGCCGATGGTATCTTTTGGTGACTGGTATTCATAGTGAGCTCCGCGTCCTTGAGTATAGCTTGGTCCGAGTCTATCGGAATCGGGAGAGACGGCACTAGGCGTAGGGTACGGAGGTCTTACGTTGTCGATGGGAGAGGATTGGCTGATCAGAGAATCTTTCCGATTCAGCGCAGATCCTTTCGCAGTATGGCGATCCTTATGGCGGTTGCACAAGTCGAGTCGGACGAACTGGCGCTTACAATCTTGAAAGTCGCATCTGTAAATCTGCTTCGGCGAATGGTTCAATTGGTGCCGATAACTTTTCAGATTTCACCTAATTAGTAGAGCAAATCCATAAAGAGTGGGATATTCGAGTTTTTCTATAAAGCTCACAGATGTTCGGCCCTTGAATAACTCTTACCACATCCCTCGGTAGGGCATTCGAATTTCTTATCCAAACCTTTGCGACTCCGCCTCCGCTTTCTTACGGGACCATCCGAGTTTGACGAATTACCGTTTTTGGTGTCACCGTCGCCAGGTTGGTCGCTCTCATTGCCATCGATATCCTTGTCAGGAGAGCGACTCCGGCGACGTCCTCGCTGCGGGTCGCCTTCATGTTGGACGTTCTGAGGCGGCGTCGGCTCCTGAACCTCGGTCATGATGGGTCTCGAGTCCACGAAAGGTATAGATGATTTAACGTCTCTAGGCAATGCGGGGAGAACAGAAGTCATGTTCCATTAAAGCATCATGGTCTTGCGAAGAGTCGTAGCGCTTCAAATCCGGGCCGCTCGCGGGGAGGTTTGTCGCACCCCTCGTGGGGAAAAGTTGTTGCTGTCGCACCTGAAGCTGTATAATAATTGGCCAGCAACTCTTAGTCGCACACGCACGCGCTCACTCTATCTCTTTTTATGTGTAGTCCTAGACGTGGAAATATTAGACTGCGAATCCACCCCAATACGCCCGTTGGTGCCACAGTCGGACGATCTAAGTGTGTTACGACGGAAGAGCCAAAACTACTGCAGGCGCGCAAAGGGAGAAGAACAAGCCAGCGGCTCTTAGGGTAACTTGAGTTTCCCAAAAATAATCAGTTGCGCCGGAGCCAACAGTGACGATAAATTAAGGCGACCTCGAAACAAGCAACATGATCCAACTTGGAAGATTATGGGTGTAGTTACCACATAACAAGTTCGAATACAAATGCAGCCACAAATGCAGTCCAAACAGTCCAAATCAGAAAAAAATACCGAGGAGACTATATTCTAGAGGGATCGATCGCCGGGTAGTAAGCGAAGGGACGGAGCTGAGCTGAGCTGATTCGATGCGAAGGAGGGACACGCGATATTCCAACTAAAAAAGACCTAGACTAGTATTTTTGGAAGATGTTTAGGTTAGTCTTTTTAGTTCTGGGGTTCCCACGTCTAAAGACGGGATGGAGTAGTTCGAAATTTGTAAAATGCCGCCGCCCATTGCGGTAAATTCCCCATGGAACGGAAGGCACTCTTTTAAGGAGCCCAGTACCTACACACCTAGTGGCAGCCTGTCCTGGACTCCCCGTAGGTGGCTAAGATATCCTACAAGTACCTACTTGCAGTTACCTTAAATGAAGCTAGCGCGGCTGGGCGGGGTTTAGGTGAAATGCAATTAAGTGGGAATTTCGAGGCAGAATGTAACATTTAGGACCAAGAAAAGTACCAAGTTAGGTTTAAAGTATGCGAACTGTGTGGTAAAGGTACAACATTGTGTAAGAAAAAGTACAACGCCTTAGACACCCAAGTACCTAGGTACAAGGTGTCTAGTGTATGTACGTCCATGCACGAAGGGGGAGGGTCCCGGAGTAGAATGGAGTCCAGTGACAGGGCATGGGGAAAGTCTTTTTTTTTATTTTAGATAAATGCAGGGAAACGACAAGCGGGAAGGCCTATTAGCTTAGGTACATAATAGTAAAGGGCAGCACGGAGCACACTATGCGCCGTTCGGGATTGATTAATAATTTATATGATATAAGTCGGGAGAGTGCCACTTAAAATCGGAACTGCCTCTTTATCTTGTTGAAATAGAACTACTATATTAGAAGATATAATGTTATTATAAGGGAAAAGGGGGGAAAGTGCTGTATTTTATATGCATATCTACCCATATGTGTAGGCATGTGTGTGTGCGTATATGTATACCTTAGGTACCTTAGGAGGTAGGTAAGTATATACCAACTAACAGACATACAGACAGTTCATACACCAAGGCATATACTAGTCGGTAGCAGACAAGACGACAAGACGTTAAGTATATACGAAATACAGAATTTTCAAAAGTAATATCGGTTTGGTACACGAACCAAGAAGACACTTATATATGGTAGAGGTAGAAAGAGCATATATCCGTGTTCGAGGATCTACTCGCTCAGGGTTCCATTACAAGAAAAGAAAACTCTCGGACTGCACGTTGCTGCGAAAACATGACACTTGACAAGGGATCCTGACTGGCCCGCCTAGAAACAGGAAGACAGGGGAGAGGGCTATCGTCGGAGAAGAAAGAATAAAAGTGTGTGTGCGTGTGTACGTGTGTGTATGTGTGTATGTGTGTTTTGTTGAGCGGGAAGAGGTCGGCGAAGATAATAATGCGGCACCAGAACTTGGTCCGAAACCGTGTGTCTAAGTTGCACGCGTAGGACGGATGGGTCGGTGGGACAATGCAGGAAGGATACCAAGTAAGCTAATGAAAGAGATGCATATGAAACATACCAAACAAAACGACAGGCTTGTCGCGAACTATCATGTATAAGTGATCTCCAAACAATACCGACGAATATAAATGCTGCACGGTAAATCCTTCGTCTGGAGTTGCCCTCCAAAAACAACCCGCGTCTGGCCGGTATCGAACTATAAGCTAACGGTTAAAGTCAGAATTGAGGAGAAATGAACAGACGAAAAAACTCATGCGATGATGAATCGGGTGAAGCGGCTGAAAGGGGGAGTCGTAGCGGCGGAGGGTCGAATTGCTAAAATAACAATTAAAAGACCCAGAGAATAGGATAGCAGTTTAGGAAATGTGGGAGAAGACAGAAAATCGAGGTGGGGGTCCTCATTCTTAATACTAGCTGCTAGTAATACGTGACCAAATATAACCTATTTCTAACTAGGATAGACCAACTCACTAGGATACCTACTAGGTAGTCGAAAGGATCCTGATGGGCTTGCCCGAACTGTGGAGTGCAATCCCCTGTACGAAGCCAAGACGACAACCTGCGTCTAATAAATGCATGGGTTGTTATGTAAGTATACACATGACGCTTGCGCGCCTCTCTCTATTCGATCAAGGTATAATCGTATTTTGGGGGCGAACGGCACACTTTTTTTATGCGTACCCCGATCTACCAATACACTAATTCCTGTTAGTTGCTAGTTGTTATTAGATAAATAAATCGAGGTTTAAGCTGTGCTATTCATTATATGGTTACGTTTAATGTTTTCCAATTGCGAAGAGAGTCCGCAATATTTATTAGTTGCCTCCAAAAGACAATATCAACCCTTGAGGATGCACAACTAGGAGAGGAGAGATCGAGCAATTAGACGAGCGCTGATAGGGTCGGTTGATTTTGGATTTCTTCTTATAGGTTAGCGACTAACAAGCGAGGTAAGACGGGCCTTCGACTCCGTCCAGATGGGATGTACATACTTACAACTTGCTAACCTAGGCCTTCTTTTCAACTAACAGAATAAGAGCTTACACTTAGTTACGTACTACCTATATATTTTTACCTAGATGGTTGTAAGGCTATAACCCACTTATTAGTTGAAGTTATTAGTTGTTTAATACTGTCTGTCATTAAACTTGACAAGAGCCTTAACTTTTGTATTAGTGACTTATTAGTACTTGGTTGAATACTATAGTATTTCGCGGGAGGTATATTACAAGTGTGATCCAATCCCGTGGGCCCTCCATTCGGAAAACAACCAAATGACTAGCGCTAGTGGTTACGAATTATCTACGAAGACACGGGGTAAATGTTGTCATGGTCCCTTGCTGCTCATGTCGTCTTACCTACATCACTGCCTAGGGTGGGAATGCCTACCATGTATATGGTAGTAGTTACAGCTTTTTTACCGTTAGCCCCGCAGCCTAATATATGATTTATTTATATACGAGCTGGAGAGCGTAGCAGCATAGTTCTTCGTTTACGTAGGTAGGTATATATAAGGTATGCAATAAGGATAGGTAATAGATGCAAGGTACCGCTTTAGGATATTATAAAGTATCATATAGGTCCATAATAGGTTGAACACATTTGAAGAATTGTTGACAAATAGCAGTGTCATTCACCGTACGTAAAGGCTGTGACTTCCCAGCTCCCGTCGTCGGACTGCGCCGAGGAAGCGTTTTGGTGCATACACTGTGCAGACAAGGAAGATCCTAGGACGACTAGGGACGACATCTGGCGGATCAGAGTCAAAATCTAACTTGAAAAAGGGCTAGTTTGTGGGGACTGGGGTCAAGCTTATTGATTGGTCGATTTCTCCAGGTCTTGGCAGATTTGACTAAAAGCTACCTAGGGTACGTACTGCATAATGCATTAACGCGTGGATCATTATGCACGGGATGCATTTGGGTTTTTACACAAGTTCCACTATGCAGCCCAAGCACGCTTTCCTCCATCATATCTCTTATAAGCAAAAATTCTCACCTTTTTTTTTTTTTTTAAAAAAAAAAAAAAAAAAACCATATCCATAAGATCCTACCGTTACGTAGGTATATCCAAGATTATTAACTCTTAAGAATTAAGTACCTCCTACCAACGCGATAGCTCGGAATACATATAACGTATGATAACTTTAGGTATACATTCTCGAAAGTCAACAATCGTAGTCACGAGTATCAGGATGACTCTCAGTACTCGTTAATATCTTCCAAACTGGAGTTAAACCTGGCCGCGATATACCCTTTACCGTTCTCGGCCAAAGTCATTTTTTCAGCTGGATTACGCCAGCACTGCCTCACAGCTTATAGAGAAACACGATGAACAACTAACTGACCATCTAGCCACTGAGCCAGCAGCTGATACATCAGGATGTCTATTCATTGGCAATAGGTCTTTGCCTTGCCCCCGCGCCCCCATTTATTTTGCCATCCTTACTTAGATTACAGAGCACTAAACCCCAAAATCGCCAGATCATTGCCGTGGTCAAGTGGATGGTGTGCCGTAGGCTCGGTAAGCTCAGGGCCCAAACTGGTGGGACGCTTGCAAGATCACATTGATTCCAAGGATCTCAATCAAGCCTTTGGTCCAAGGAATTAGGCTTTTCCCGTACAATCCTTCCAGGTTGATTCCAAACGATCAGAAACTTAATGGCTGCATTATTATTATTTAATGTCTACAATTTCCAAAGTTCAGTTTAGTCGCAAAAGCCCCTCCTAGTTAGTCTCGCCATCCAACTGGGCCAGGCTCTAAGAAATACAGGATCAACCAACATTTATCGTTTGGCTAGATTAGGTAGACATGGGTAGAAGATCAAGGGTTGCAGATAAAACGAGTACATTTGCGGCTACTACACTCATCAATACGAGCGTCATGGTACAATACTGCTAGGCTGCGTCACATCTGTCTGCTTACATACTATGTAAGCCATAGCATAAATCGAGCATAGGAGATAGAAAAGCCTCCGTGGTGGAGGGTTGTGTTGCAGCAGTACGTTTGGGAAAGCTTCTGGAAGCTGACGAAGAGGCGTGCGGAAGCGTCGGAATTGCCCATTCGGCCCAGTCTGATTTCTCTCGGCATCCCAGCCAACCCCCGGGTCGAACTTGCCTGTCAGACTCCCGCCATAGCTTCCCCCATGATCCATACATACAGATCCATTGCCTGAGGCGGTCGTTCTGGCAGCTGATCAGCAGGCGGGAAGATGATTTGTTGGTGCCGGCCAAGGGGGGCCAGTGGAAAGGATTGAAGGGGGCAAACAGAAGAGAGGCAAAAACTTCAGCCACAAGTGGGTTAGCAGGAAGTCCGGCTGCAGGTCGACGAAAAGGGATAGTCGAGGGAAGGGGATGAGTCGCACAGAGAAAAGAGAAAAAGCTGGAGTGCATGATAGACAGCTCAGCACACCAATATGATAGTCTCTTATTACTTGAGGTGGGCAGCTCGGAACAAAAGAAATCCGGGTCACGATAACTGCGCTCTTCAGTCTCGGTGTATAACCAAGGTAAGTGGATTCCAACCATTATCTTGATTTCCTGATTTTTATCACGGCTGTAAAAGTATCGTTCGGTTTTCAGGTATTCCCTACTGGTTTCTATTAAATACATGGTTGCAACTCCAGGAGAGCTAAGAGTTAACTCACTAGTCATCGCTATCACCTACTGTAACCAGTCTTATCCC